TGCAGGGACCCAAACACTTGGGCCATCATCTACTGCTTTCCCAGGTCATAGCAGAGAGCTGGATCAGAATTGGAGCAGCCAGGACTAGAACTGGTGCCCATATAGGATGCTGGCATTGCAGGCGGTGGCTTTGTCCTCTACACCACAGCACCAGCCCCAACCAAGAAGTTCAAGTTGACATAGTGAACAGCACACTGTGCTTCCCAAGTCTAATGTAATCATGGGCAATGTTAACAGAGGTGTTGCAGGCTGAGGGAGGTGACAGGCATGCTTTGCTGCAGAGCTGTGATGTAGGAGAAGCAACTCCAGACCAGGAGAAAGGGGTCCCTGGGGTTCCAAGCCCTTCCTCTCTCCTCAGTGACCACTCTCCAGACCACCTCTTCTCTGTGGCCACAGACAGTTCTGATAGCAATGTCCTGGGGCAGGGGCATTCAGTCCCTAATGAAGACTACTGCAGGGTCTGGGAGGGAGGGTTGCAGGGAAGATCTCTGAGTAGTTGGTCTTGAGGGAGCATTCCTCTTAAAACATTACAGTCCTGTCTGCCACAGGCAGCCCTGGCCTTGATGGTCATTTGTCTATTATTGTCTCACTTCAGATGATACCTCCAACCTTTGCTATTGGACAGAAGGTGATTGGCAAGAACATTCTACCCTAAAGTTTTAAAAGATTTACATATTAGCACATCCAATCACTGGCTCTCTCCCCAAACATCTGCAAAGCCAGGGCTGGGCCAGGCTGAAGCTAGGAACTCCATCCTGGTCTCCCACATGGGTGTCAGGAACTCACACACTTAGGTTATCACCATTGCTTCCTAGATGCATTAGCAGGAAGCTCAATTGGAAGCAGAGGTGGGACCTGCTTTCAGATCCTCCAATAAGGGCTGTGGGCATCCCAAGTGGCAGCTTAACCATTACACTAGAACACCCTCTACTTTGATATTTATTTACTTATACATTTATATGCTTATTTATTTGAGACAGAAAGAGACATTCTGTACACCATTTCACTCTCCAAAGGCCTGAAATAATTAGGGCTAGGCCAGGCTGAGGCTGGGATCAGAGGACTCAATCTGGTCTCCCCACATGGTTGGCAGGGACCCAACTATATAAGCCATCACCTGCTGCCTCCCAGGTTGCACATTAGCAGGAAGTTGGAATTGGAAGTTTGCCAAGACTTGTACCAGGCACTTTAATTCAGGATCCAAGTTTCCCAAGAGGCATCTTAATCACTGTGTCAAACACTCACCCCCACCTCAGTTTATAAAGACAAGGAATTCAATTTCTCTTTCTACTACCAATAAACAGGAGTATGGATAATCTCAATTGCTTGCTCTAAGCATAATTTTTGTTGCCACAAAGGGAATCCACTTCAGATAATGGTAGTGCTGTGAGTGACAGAGCAGAGGTGAAAAGAACCCATGTTCTCACTGACATCACTCAGCTGTTGAATTTGCTGAGCCCAGGGCCACTGTGTCTGACTCTCCTCATTGTTCAAGCTGGTTTGTGAAGGGCTTTTAGTGACCTGAACTCGAAACACCATGTACTCTCTACAAGGTGTTGGTAAGGATTTTGAACTATCCATGGTCACCTAAAGGGCCACTAAAGAGTTGGACTCACAATTTTGTCTTAGTACAAGGTGTCCTAACTGAGGACAAAGCCACCAGGATTTCCTCTGTTTGATTCATCTTACATTTGAGGAAGGTACTGTAGTGCCTAAAAAGGGGTGCAGGAACCTCAGTTTTCCCACTCAGCTGTGTGGCCCTGAGGAAGGTATTTAGATTCTATGGCTCCACTTTCTCCCCTGCCCATGGAGAGTATCACAGTGCTTGTTTAGAGGGTTATTGTCGGTATCAAAGGAATTAAATGACTCACGTGTGTTAGAGTTTATTCCAGCTATGAGTAGCACACAAAGTAAATATTTAAAAGTGTAGCTTAGGGGCCAGCATTGTGGTAGAGTGAGTTAAATCATAGCCTATAACTCTGGCATCCAATGGGGGTGCCAGTTCAAGGCTTGGCTGCTCCACTTCTGATCAAGCTCCCTGCTAATACACCTGGGAAAGCATTGCAGAACCCAAGTACTCAGGTCCCTGCACCCAGGTGGGAGGCCTGGATGAAGCTGCTAGCTCACACTTTCAGCCTGGCTAAGTCCTGGTGGTTGCAGCTATTTGAGGAGTGAACCAGCAGATGGAGGATACCTCTCTCTGACTGACTTCTATCTCTGTAACTCTGCTTTTCAAATAAATAATGTCTAAAAAAACTACTTCTCTCACATTTAAGGATTTAAAGATATTCATTCCAGGAGGGGATCCTTTGCCTTGTTGCCTCATCCATAAGGTTTCCTCATGGGACCAAACGGTTCCTGCAGCTCCAGTCACCCACTCTCCACCCCATCCAGAAGGACAATAGCAAATAAGAAGAGCATGTTTCTACTGTAAGCATATTTCTTAGGGTTGGGCATTTCACCTAGCAGATAAGATGCTCCTTTCCCATATGAGTGCCTAGCTTTGAATCCAGGCTCCAGCTGCCAATTCCACCTTCCTGGTGATGTTCACCCAAGAGTTGGCAGTGATGACTCAAGTTATTGGGTCCCTTTCATCCCATGGGAAACCTGGATTGGGTTCTTGGCTCCTGATTTAGGACCAGTCCCATCCCAGCCCTTGCAGACACTTGAAGAGTGAACCAGCAGATGGGAGCTTTCTCCATGTCTATCTGTCTCCTTCTTTTTGCCTGTCAAATAAAATGTTTAAAGAACATTTCCTGGGAGTCACACATCATGGCATCAGGTATGCCGAACTGAAAAATTAAGGAATCTGTTATGGGAGATGGGCAGGAAGTATCTAACTTCTGCTGCCCATGCAGAGGATGAGCCCAGTGTATCCACACAGGGCAGGTGTTCTCTTTAAAAATCTCCACTCAGCACAACACTCAGTCCCCAGTCCTCTGTCAGAATCTCATCATGTCCTTTAGGCTCATCAAGCATCCATTTATGCTGTAACTGAGCTAACATACTGTATAGACACACAAAATCTGGGTAATTTCACTATGAAGCCATAGTTGCCAAGTCACTGCCTATGAAGCTGCACCTGGTTCACAGGAAGCACTCAGTGAATCTTTGCAATTACTGTCCCTGTGGTTAAAGAACTAGTCTATCAGGCTAGCACTGTGGTGTAGTGAGTAAAACCACTGCCTACAGTACAGGCATCCCATATGGGTGCCGGTTTGAGCCCTGGCTGCTCTTCTTCCAATCCCGCTCTCTGCTATGGCCTGAGAAAGCAGTAGAAGATGCCTCAAGTCCTTGGGCCCCTGTACCCATGTGGAAGACACAGATGAAGCTCCTGATCGGTGCACTTCTGGCCGTTGTGGCCATTTGGGGAATGAACCATTGAATGTAATACCTCTCTCTCTCCCTCTGCCTTTCAAACAAATAAATCTTAAAAAAACAAATAAACAAACAAAAAACTAGTTTATCAGGATCTGGAGGAATGGAGCTTGAATTCCTCCTGTACCAGTTATCAACTGTGTGATGCTGGGCAAGTCCTTAAACCACTCTATGTAGCAGCCCTACTTATGTGTTTGAGAGGTGCATTTAGCTCCTTGCTACATGCATTCCTTTCTAACCTCAGCATTTCTTTATAAACTCAACTTTTCTGTAACAAGCCTTGTAGGATCACAGCACTATAAAAAGTTCTTGTCATTACCTGAGAAAATGTTTCTCAAACTTTTTCTTTTGTGTACTGATACAAACATGTCTTGGCAAGTAGTTGAGGTTCTCATAAATGAGAAGGATGCTCATACAAAATAACAGACAGCCTATAAAATATGTAAAACAGCTTAGTCTAAATGTGTTCATCTTCCTTGGAGAGATAAGGCAGCTAACTTTTATGATCATGTGGGTTGGAAACATAAAAATAACTTTTTCATAAAAGGCCAGTTTTACATCACATGAAATATAGAAGAAGTTAGATAACTTAGGTTTGTTGTTGTACCCATAGTTATATATGGTAATCCAATCTAAGTATGAATAAAGATATGATTGAATGGGTTCAGTCAATTCATTTTTTTATAATGAAAAGTTTAAGGATAGATCAATGTTTCCAGGAAAATCACTGTCTGATTTTGTTAGCATGAGAATGGAAGGGAGAAAGGTGAAGGAGAAAGAAATAGTGTCTGTATTTGTAGGAAGCTTGGGAATCACGGCTCCAGTGAACGAGAGAGTCCAGTCTTGGTGTTGTAGAGGAAGGTGTGTTTCCCACTCCCATGTCCTCCATTCAACACATGGGAGAGGAAGCTGAGTGCAATTAGAACATATCTGATTGTCTTCTAGAGAGTTTGCTCTGAAGTTATCAGAATTGCACATCGCGCCTTTCCATGATGAATGAATCTCTCAGGTGAAAACTGTAATTAACAATGTGGTACGTAGCTGAACTCCTTTGGGAGACCCTACAACGTGCCTTATAAGGAAGTTATCATTAATCAAAACCCAAGTAAGAATATTAACAAAGTATTCACAAAAAGTGTCCAATAAACTCAATCCTGTGAGGTGTCTCAGACGTCTAAGTAAACAATCCTGCATGAGGGCGCCCTGATCAAAAGAGCATATCTCATTGTTCCTTGTTTGTTATTGTGGCCCAGGTAAATGGAGTCTTGCAGTAACACACAAGAGTGAGCAATATAAGATTGACATTTCACAAAGAACAGCTCAGAGATAACAGAATTTATACATCCAGTCTAGAACCCAAAAGGATTTACAGGACCCAAGATGTTAAAAGGCCTGGGGAAAGTGTTCTGAATGTATTACAGTTGGCAATGAAGCTTTTGTGTAGAAATCACAGTAAACCTGATTCAAATGGCTGAAATGTTAACACCAGAAAAAAAGGAACTTCAAAAACCTTTCACATGACATTAAACAGAAACACATACAGAAAAATACACTCAAAATCAAGATCTTGCACTGTATTCCCTGAAACTCTTAACCACTGCAAACATGAAGATGAACTGTACCTGTATCTTTATGGGGAATCAAGAAGGCAGGACTGCCTGTTGCTCAACCACCTACACCCACACCTGAGCAGTTTCTGGACCTGTAGGGAAGATGTTTTAGAAAGGGAAATATGGATCAATGATGCCATATTTCTGACACCCCCACCTTCCTTATGAGCACAGAAGCCATCATTTACTTCCTCTCAAAGTACTTATCTTCCCCATATACAAATGATAGCATTTGTTGCCTATTCTTCTTTTGTCAAAAAAAGAGGCACCAGATTTCAAGATTTTGTTTTATAAGTCTATATCTAGAGCCCTCCATGCCTGAGTTATTTTTGCCAATGCCATGCAATTTGAGTTTAAAATTCTGGTGTATGGGAAATGTTGTCAAATTAGCATTAACAACATATTTTCTAAACCAGAAAGACTTTGACTGGAATAATGATCATGTTTCTTTTTTCTTTTTTTGTTGGATTTGCGTTGACAATTTATTTACTCAAATGTTTGGCCTTACTTGATTATAAAGGTGATTCTTAGTGAAATGTTACATAATTTCTAAGAAGAATGGGAATTTACTTTCACTGGATTACCTAGTGGAAAGCAGCGTGCAGTACATTGCACGCATTCCAGCCCACGTTTAGCTGATTGGTAAAACAGGTAAAACAGGGCCTGAAGGCTGGAGCTGGCCTCGCCTCAACAAAAGGCCACAACGCAGTCCACTCTCCCGATATCCCTCCGTCCTTTCCACCCAACCTGAGGAGAGGCAGACCTCGCGCATGGAGACGGAGAGGAGGCTCTGGAGCGAGCCGAGGTCGCTGGTGCAGGCACGGGGCCTGTCGCCCATGTCCGGAGCTGGCCCAGCCCTCAGCGGTGGGGTCTGCGGATGGAAGAGCTCACCGCGGGGGAAGTCCAGGTCCCTCTGTAGCTGGTTCTGGCAGTATCCATCCGCCCACGGCCACCTTCTGGGAAACCTAACCCCACACAATCACCACTTCCCGCTCACGAGGTCTCCGGCTTCCCTTTCTCAGAGTGGAGAAGGCCCAGCCACCGCTGGGACGCTCTGCCCACTGTAGGCTGGAGGCCACTAGGACACAGGGATCTCCTGAGATGAGGAAGTGGTCCGCCACCCTCACCAGGGCCCCTGATTGGACAGTTGCAAAGCCGATGGACTTGAGGGGCATCACAAAAGCCGTAGCCAATCAGCACGCTCGCTGGCGCAGTGGGCGGGGGAGGTTGTTGCCGGGCGACGGGAGGGCAGGCCGGGTTTGGGATCTGAGGCCGCCCAGGTGCCTGATTTCCGGACAGGGTCGCTGTGGCCTCCGTGTTCCTCGGGGCTCTGGGGACCTCTAGAGTTCACCGTGAGCTGCAGAAGCCGCTCCAGGTGAGTCACCGCTAACTGCGCTTCATCGTATTCTGGTCTTTGTGTTTCTTCTTATTCTGAACGATTTCTCCTTTGGGAAGTTTCTGTAATGTTCCTTTGAATGATGTTTAAAGATATTGCGTGGTTAAACCTCTTGGTTCATTTCTCTTGTAGATACGTGTCTTCTAGACTGTCTTTTGTCTTTTTAATATTTCCTATGTGTTTCTTGCTGTTAGTAATGACATTAAAAAAAAAAAAGATTGTTTGAAAGGCAGAGTTACAGAGTGAGAGAGAGGGAGAGAGAGAGAAGGCTTCCATCCTCTGCTTCACTCCCCAGTTGGCCACAATGGCCGGAGTTGCGCAGATATGAAACCAGGAGCCAGGAGCTGCTTTCCTGTCCCCCACGCGGGTGCAGGGGCCCAAGGATTTGGGCATCTTCCACTGCTTTCCCAGGGCATAGCAGAGAGCTGGATCGGAATGGAGCAGCCGGGATTCGAACCGGCGCCCACATGGGACGCCCCAGTCATATTTTACCCAGTGATCTGGTTACCCCCTCTTATCAGTTGTATGTAGTTCGGGATGACACTGGATTGTCTGTATGTAATGGTGTCATCAGGGTACATTGACAGTTACTGGTGTATTTAGGGTCGATGCTTATTGTTTTTGTTGTTGGATTTCCCTGTTAAGAGAGATGGGGGAAGGCAGGCATAGCTGGGTCTGTTCCCAGGGGACAAGCTTTCAGTGATCCTGTGTTAAGTAGTTTGTTGTAGGTCCATTTGAGACAATCTTGATCACATACAGCATATCCCTCTTTTTTGCAATTTTGCCAGAAGTTGATTTTTTTTTCTGTTTGGATACTGAATTTTGTTAAATGCCTTAACACTTAATCTGAATGATCATGTAATTACCTTACATTTTCAGCCTACCTGGATGATTTACAGGGTTTGTTTGACACTGTTGAATGCTCTTCATTTTTTAAAGTGTCTTGCTTGTTATTGATCTACGATATTTTCCTATATGGTTGAATTCATATAATGTTTTTCTCAGGATATCACCTATTGATGAAACAAATGCTCATTAATTTCATAACCTGGTACTGTTTGCATCATATATACAACACTGGCTTCCCAAAAAGTAATTTAAATACATTCTCTGCTTATTTCCACTTAAAATGAGCTTGAGAAATTTAAATTTATTTTTCTTTCTTAAAAATTTAGAATATTCCGTATGTTTGGGCCCAAAATTTTACTTGTGGAACTTTTGTTGTGGTTGGTTTGGCTTTTCAAAAATTCAATCATCTGATTAAATTATGTAGTTTTTTTTTTCTGTTTCATGCTATATTTGTGTTTTGGGAGACTGATTTTCAAAGTGTAACAGATTTTGAACTCTGGAGTCACATTTTTATTTCTAAGAGTTTAACAATATCCTCTTAGTATCTTGGTAAGTTCTGAATGTTCTATAAAGAATGGCCCTGGTTTAATTTCTTCAAATTGGTTACTAGCTTCTTGATTTTCTTAACTTTTAAAATATATTTTTCCTTACATGTTTCTGGAGTACTTCTGTGACTAGAAATATTTCATTGATGTCTGTTGCATCTGTGTCCTGCCTTTATTTAAATATTCTTTCAGCATTTTTCCTCTTTAATTCTTGAGAAGGTAGCTGAGATTTCTGTGTCCTAACATACTCATTTAAGGATTCCCATTTTCTCCAAGCACTGTATCCATATTCCCTTAATTTTCTCATATATTTGCAAAGCCTGTAAGTGTAGACCCTGTCTACCCCAGTGTCTCCATCCCCATGAGCCTGCAACCATACCAGGCTTCATGTATCTCCTTTCCTGTGCCGGAAACCCCATGTGTTTTCTCCAGTGTCACTCTTCATATAACTGTGACCTCTCTTCACTGTTTTGTGTTGTCATTTGTAAAACCTCTGTACTCCATGTCAGCCCTTGAAAGTCCTATTCCATGTGCCTTCATGAGTCTCCAGCCCCTGCGTCTCCAGCACCTCTTTTTTAAAGATTTATTTAAAAATTACATAGAGGGAGAGACAGAGGCATAGAGAGACAGAGCTTCCATCTGCTGGCTCACTCCCCAGTTGGCTGCAATGGCCAGGATTGGGCCAGACTGAAGCCAGGAGCCAGGCATTTGCAGCTTTTTCTGGTCTCCCACATGGGCAGCAGAGACCAAAACACTAGGGCCATCTCCCACTGCTTTCCCAGGTCTTTTGCAGGGATCTGGATCTGAACGGGAGCAGCCAGCATACAAACCAGCACCCATTTGAGATGCCAGCATCATAGGCTGTGGTGTAACCCACTGCATCACAATGCCAGCCCCTCCATCACATCTTTCCTTGAGTGCCCATCTGTGCCTGAATCCCTAGCCATTTGTCATGTACTCCAGCCCCTCTGCATGAAGCCCTGATCTCCCATCAATTATCTGCTTCCCTACTCCAGAGTATTTTCCTACTAACATGGAGTGACTTCATTGCCTGTGCCTCCAGCTCATGGCAGGCTTTAGATACCTCTCTGCCCTTGGCTTGAAGTCATTGTCTTCCTTAGGCATATAGAACCCCTATGACTGTAGCCTAGGCTTTTCTCTTGTGTCTCCATGCTAAATGTCTACATCCTAAGCATCTCATGTGTCTTCATCTCCTGTTCTCTTCCCAGGGTCTCCACTCACTTTGAAGGTTTGGTTATGTGGTTAACTTTTGAAGAACAACTTGGTTTTATATGAGTTTTAACCATTGTGAATAAAGCTGCTATATGTATTTTCACATCAGTTTTATCAAGGCATACGTTTTCACACCAACTGTGAAAATATATTAGAACACATATGGTGTATGACATGGTGTTGGATTCCTAATAAAATGTTAAGATGTCTGATAAAGCATCTGTCTCATGGTGCATTCTCACCAGTAATGAATGAGATGTCCTGCTACTCTATCCTTGCAAAGCATTTGTAATGTTTATTTTTAAGTATAACCATCCTGATACACAGTGTATCCATCTTGTTGCTGTCTAAATGTGCTCTTCCTTTATGTACAGTACATTTCTTTTTCTCAGAATTCTCTAATATTCAGAATGGTTTATATGCTTTTTAAAATTTATTTGAAAGATAGAGTTAGACAGTAAGAGAGAGAGACAGAGAGAAAGGACTTCATTCCATTGGTCCACCCTCCCCCAATGGCCGCTACAGCTGGAACTACACCGACCTGAAGCTAGGAGCCAGGTGCTTCCTCCTGATCTCCCATGCAGGTGCTGGTGCCCAAGCACTTGGGCTAAACTCCACTGCCTTCCTGGGCCACAGCAGAGAGCTGGACTGGAAGAGGAGCACCTGGCACTAGAACCCAGCACCTATATGGGATGCCAGCACTGCAGGCAGAGGATTAACCAAGTGAGCCACTCAGACTTTGAACCCTAAGTGTCAATATGATTGCACCAACACCCTCTACCAAATATTTAAAGTCATTTTCTGATATGTCCAAGCTGCACACTGCTGCACCATTCAGAGGAAGAAAAGATCCCAGTGTCTCTCCTCCAAGTTCCCCAAGGCTCAAGCAATCAGTGTGCTGCATGATGCTGCTGATCTCCACCTTTGTACCCATCAATCCTGCCAGTAAATACAGCCAGCATTTCCAAGTGTTAAGGACAATCCCTTTCAAAGAACCCACCTAAATGTCACTCTGCAGGGGAAAACAAACCTTGTGCAGCTGGGTCAGCAAACAGATAGAGATGTGGTGAAACAGTGGCAGAAGTGGAAGAGAAAGTGGGTTCTCACTTTATGACTTTTCTGTGCCTATCTCAGAGAGAGTCATGTGTAGATATCAGCCAGCCCATGTCCTCATGACAAAAGCTGATGATGCTTTCTCAGGTGCCCAAAGCAGCTGTCATATGTCTTGTACCTCAGTGATTGAACAAACTCCATAGCTGCCAATGGTGAGCTCAGATGGTACCAGGCTCTCCCATTGCCCCCATTCCTGGGTTTTCTCCTTTAGCAGCTAAAGTTTTTCCTCAGACTGACTCTTCCAGGAAAAGAAGTCCCATCTGTAGTTATCCAGGGTGTGGCAAGACCTACTTTAAAATTTCTCATGTGGGACTACAGCTGTGCTGTCTGCAACAGCCTGCATCACCTGTGGGTGCCAGTTCAAGTCCTGGCTGCTCCACACTAATGTATCTGGGAAAGCAGTGGAAGGTAGCCCCAGTACTTGGGCCCCTGTTCCCATATGGGAGACCCAGATGAAGATCCTGGCTCTTGGTTTCAGCCTGGCTCAGCCCTGACCATTGTGGCCATTTAGGGAATGAACCAGCTGGATGGAAGGTCTCTATCTGACCCTTGCTTTCTGTAATTCTGACTTTCAAACAAATAAATAAATCTTTTAAAAATTCTCATGTGATAGTCCCCAAGAGAACATATACAGGGAAAAACCCTTTTAGCTGTAGGTGGAGAGGCTGTGAAAGGTGGTTTGCCTCTTCAGATGAACTGTCCAGATGATGGCAAACTGACACAGGTGAGAAGCAATTTGCCTGCCCATATGTGAAGTAGAAGCCTCAGGAGTGAAGGCCCATCTTGAGTTGGCCAAGTGCTTTGGCCACAGTAAGGTCACAGAATGTAAGGTTTCATTTGTAATTATATAAGAAAGAGGAGAAAACTTGTGTTCCTTTGAATATTTTTTGAAGGTTTTAGATGAGGTCAACATAAGTAGTACAGATTTTGAGTTTGTGTGGACTTTAAAAATTTTTTTTGCTGTTTATAATTGAGACCAACTTTTTTTTTAAGATTTATGTATTTGAAA